GTTTTAGTTTATCGTCGATCATTATTCCTAGGTATTTGAACGTATTAACTTTTTCCAGTGCGTCGTTGTTTATATTTAGAGTTAGCAACGCACCGTTCTCAAAATTTCGCCTTGATATAACCACAAACTTAATTTTTTTGTATTTCTGTTTGGAAGGGTTTTCGCTAAAAATAATTTAAACTTTTCGTTGTTGCTGCCAAAAAAATTAAGAAATCTGAGACGTCACGTTTTACAATTTCATACAGTTCTCTTTACAATGCATTTCACTAAACTACTAAACGGCTGCATCGACTTGGTTCATATTTGGCAACACGTTGAAAATAAATATTCTGTCCAAAAATTTACTCGGCATTTAGCTCGGGATATTCCTAAAATTCTTATACAGACTAAAACGTAAAAAACCAATATATCACTAAAACCAATTACGCTGGGGAACTGAAACTTAGCACTGATGCATATATTGCAAATGCATTGGGAAAGGGGGCGTGGCTCCTTCCTTCCATGCAAACTCAACTTCTCATATAGCTTATGTCTGGAACTGCTTACGCTAACGTCCTGAAATTCTACACAGCTACATATGTTATCAATACCGTAGTTATGGCGAAAAGTGATAATTATTGGAAAGGCTGGATCGATATACATTTACGTAAACGCGCAAGTATCACTCGATTGGGAACCATTTTCTCCTAGATTTATAAATCCCACTGAACTATTGTAACTTTGTCTTTAAGTTTCAGTAAGGTAAAATTTTTGTGAAAATTTTGAAGAATTTTTTTAAGTTTTTCACAAAGAATGGAGCTTTGCTTTTACGAGTTTCGCTATAAACTGTCCTATCTACATACCTATTTGCATAAAATGATAGCCGTTTTCGTTGTACGGAATAAACTCAAAAAACACTGAATAGAGTTCCGTCAGATTGTCGGAGATTATCTTACATACATATATGGTCCAATTACATGCTACTATAAAATTCGCTAGGTGGTGCTGGAGTAGAATTATTTATAAAAATCGTATTTATTAACCGATTTCGTTCAAATTTTAAATGTGAGCTATGTACCTGTATGATGGAAAATTCTTTTGATAAAAATTTACCCGATTAGTGCCGCTGGAGTTAAGGTAGAAATTCATAACACGTATTCATTTTATGGTGAGCAATGGTTTTGCAGAAAATAAGCCCAATGGATGGCGCTGCAGTCGAAATGTATTGAAACCCCGTGTGGTTGGTCTGCTTTGGACCTATGTTTAAGTTATACGAATTTAGTTTTCAGATGTTTAAATGAAGCATGGGGTTAAGTTTTTCTGACGCCCTCATGCACGATCATGCGGTCTAGCATCTACCCTGAAATCAGTTCATAAATTTTACCACGAATTGTAAAAGTGGTGAATTAACAAGGAAAGATCACCGTAGGTATATCAACTGCTTTATTTGAAAGATACTTAAGAGATCACACTACTCATTTAGCAATGTACCGGAAAACTTTTCATCCTATTCCTATAAAGAAAATGCACTTCTGTGCTCTTGAGTTTTATAAGAACTTTTATTGGCATACGTAAGATCATACAAAAAGATTACGCATGATTGGCAGAGATCTCACAGGTGAAAATAAGACCATCAGTAAAGCTCATGACACCAAAAGGGATTGGTATTCCATATGGTATCACAGCGTTATTACTATTTGCCTATGTGTGAGGAGAATACTGCGCCTTAGTGGTTTCAACTTAAATCAAAAATTTTGACTTTACAGACTAATTTTGTTTTTCAACGCTCTTTTGCATTGGCCAACGCAAAAGCTCTTATTAGGCGCCGCGAAGTAAGCGGGCATTGGCTAGTACATTATAAAAATACACTCGCTTACCAAATGTCAGTCGGATATCTCGAAAACTGAGGGAGTATATTCAAACATTCAAACAGACAGATAGATGGACTTGACTCGAATCGACTCAGCTCGACGTTCTGATCATTTTGCCAAACATTTATTTGGGTCTATATCTGCTTCTTCTGGAACTTAAAAACATCGGACCAAATTTATAAAATCATTTCATGTTCATGACAGGTATACATGGAAATGATGGAAAAATCGTACGTTAGCGACCGGTACTTCAGCATATAAATAAAAACCTAATCGAGATATTTCAACGTGCAGTTAGTTAGGAGGAAGTTACTTTATTCCACTTTAATATAAAATTAATCGCTTTAGAATATTCTGTTCCATTTCGCAGTTTCTTGAATTTTTTAATTTGCAACCAAAAGCGACTTCCATTATTCGTTAGGAAAGTTTACTGCCGAAAATATTTTTGAAGGTTGCCACCTGTTGGAAAAAAAATTTTCCAATTAAATTGATAAAATAAATGGAATATTATTACGGGTATCAAACAACAAAAAAGAAATACTTTTAAGGCACAGTGAAGCACGCTAGGTATTTTGTACAAGCAAGACTTATAAAAATTAATTGAAGCATTAAATAAAACAAAGAATCATAGCCAAACCTGGCCAAAATGCCACTAACAATAATTCGCTGACCACAAGGGTATATACTTTTATACATATATACACGCACATATATGTATAACCCTATTTATTGCTTTCATTAAAGATTATTAACGGCTAATTTAAACACAATTTTTGTAATCATTAAGTATATTTATATTTCAAGTCTTAATTTATTTTCCTCCTTTTTCTATCAAAGCATCCAATAATAATTTTTGCAGTTGATAAGAATAGTCTAAAAAGAAAACGCCTCTAAAATATAAGCATTCCCAGTAGAACTTGGGAGCATCGTACGATTGCTCGGTGAGTACTCCC